CGAGGATGGGAGCCGAAACAAAGCGGCTCTTAAGTTTGGCGAACACAGCCTCGGCTGTATCGGACCACCTGCACATTGTTCTGGGGGAGGTCAAGGCAGTCAGAGGTGCGGCTAGTTGGCTGAAATTGCGAATATAACGCCAATAGAAATTGGCAAACCCCAGAAACCTCTGTATGGCCTTACGGGAATCTGGACTAGGCCAATCAATCACAGCCTTAACCTTGTCAGGATCCATACGCATTCCCTCAGACGAGACGATAAACCCTAGGAAAGGAACAGACTGTGCATGAAAAACGCATTTCTCCGCCTTGGCAAAAAGCCCATTCTCTAGCAACCTCTGAAGCACTCGTCCGACGTGCTGAACGTGTTCCTGGAGAGAAGATGAAAAAATCAATATGTCATCCAGGTAAACATATATGAATTGGTCAACCATATCTCTCAGCACGTCATTGACAAGTGCTTGGAAGACCGCTGGGGAGTTTGACAGGCCGAACGGCATGACCAAGTATTCAAAGTGCCCCCTGGGGGTATTGATTGCGGTCTTCCATTCATCACCCTTCCTTATGCGGACCAAATGATAAGCGTTACGTAAATCCAATTTTGTGAAGACGGATGCTCCCTGTAATCGCTCGAAGGCAGAAGACATCAACGGCAAAGGATAAGTATTCTTTACCGTGATGTTGTTCAACCCCCGGTAATCAATACACGGTCGCAGAGACCCATCCTTCTTCCCCACAAAAAAGAACCCCGCCCCCGCTGGAGATGAGGAAGGGCGAATGAACTTGGATGCTAGAGAATCAGAAATATATTTCTCCATAGCCTCCCTCTCTGGAACAGAAAGTGAATATAACTTGCCCTTAGGCGGAGACTCACCTGGCACTAAGTCTATTGCACAGTCATAGGGACGATGAGGAGGAAGAGAAGCAGCACGAGACTTACTGAACACTTCTCTCAGGTCCTGGTACTCCTTGGGCACGTTAGACAAATTCACTGCCTCCTCCTGAAACACAGAAACAGGTACAGACGAACACGCAGACACTAGACAAGACTTATGACACTTATTACTCCATGTAGACACTGAATTGTGGCCCCAATCGACTCTGGGATTGTGCAAAGTGAGCCAGGGATGACCAAGTACAACTGGTGCGAGAGGTGAGTCCATGAGGAGGAATTCTATAGTCTCAATGTGATTGCCGGATGTGATGAGTGTGATGAATTTAGTCGTGTGAGAGATGTTGGGGAGAAGTTGGCCATTTAGAGCATTAACGGAGATCTGATGCTTGAGTGGAGAAATGGGAATAGATAGTTTCTTAGCCAGTCCAAAGTCCATAAAATTACCTTCTGCCCCAGAATCCAGTAATGCCTTGATGTCGAGTGTGCAGGTTGCCCACCTTAGTCTTACCGGGAGGAGGGTAGATGATGATGGTAATGAAGTCTTCTCGGCGGAGATCCCACCCGATAGTAGCCTCATAGTTACTACCGGGCTTGGTCTTTTACTGGGCAGGCATGAATGAAGTGGCCCGCCTTCCCAGAGTATAGACATAGTCCATGGGATCTCCGCCTCTCTCGCTCCTCCCGGGAAAGCCAAGCTCTACCCACCTGCATGGGCTCGGGATCGAGGAGAGGGCTGACCGTGTCCTTACTGCCGACTCGTGAATCCTCCGCGCCGAGGAACTGATGACTCTGCTGAAACCGACCCATCCTGCTCAGCCGAGCATCGACTCTCAGCGCTAGCTCCACGAGTCCGTTCAATGTCTGAGGAAGGTCCAGCATGTATATCTCCTTCTGGACACGGTCAGCCAACCCATGCAGGAAACGGTACCACTGCGCCTCCTCGTTCCATCGGCACTCTGCGGCCAGGATGCGGAACTGGATGGAATATTCCGACACCGAGCCATTACCCTGGCGGAGATCGGCGAGTAGTCTGGCCGCCTCTCTACCCGCCACCGCACGATCGAAAACCCTTCTCATAGCTTCGGAGAGTGCCTGGAACGAGGTGCAGCATGGATCTCGATTCTCCCACACCGCTGTTCCCCAAAGAGCAAAACGCTTTATTAGAGTTGGTAAGTATATACCCTCACCGCCCACTTTATTAGGTACCCCATGCTAGTAACGGGTTGGACCCCCTTTTGCCTTCAGAACTGCCTCAATTCTTCGTGGCATAGATTCAACAAGGTGCTGGAAGCATTCCTCAGGGAGTTTGGTCCATATTGACATGATGGCATCACACAGTTGCCGCAGATTTGTCGGCTGCACATCCATGATGCGAATCTCCCGTTCCACCACATCCCAAAGATGCTCTATTGGGTTGAGATCTGGTGACTGTGGAGGCCATTTTAGTACAGTGAACTCATTGTCATGTTCAAGAAACCAATTTGAAATGATTAGAGCTTTGTGACATGGTGGAAGTAGCCATCAGAGGATGGGTACATGGTGGCCATAAAGGGATGGACATGGTCAGAAACAATGCTCAGGTAGGCCGTGGCATTTAAACGATGCCCAATTGGCACTAAGGGGCCTAAAGTGTGCCAGGAAAACATCCCCCACACCATTACACCACCACCACCAGCCTGCACAGTGGTAACAAGGCATGATGGTTCCATGTTCTCATTCTGTTTACGCCAAATTCTGACTCTAACATCTGAATGTCTCAACAGAAACCGAGACTCATCAGACCAGGCAACATTTTTCCAGTCTTCAACTGTTCAATTTTGGTGAGCTCTTGCAAATTGTAGCCTCTTTTTCCTATTTGTAGTGGAGATGAGTGGTACCCGGTGGAGTCTTCTGCTGTTGTAGCCCATCCGCCTCAAGGTTGTGCGTGTTGTGGCTTCACAAATGCTTTTCTGCATACCTCGGTTGTAACGAGTGGTTATTTCAGTCACTGTTGCCCTTCTATCAGCTCGAACCAGTCTGGCCATTCTCCTCTGACCTCTGGCATCAACAAGGCATTTCCGCCCACAGAACTGCCGCTCACTGGATGTTTTTTCTTTTTCGGACCATTCTCTGTAAACCCTAGAGATGGTTGTGCGTGAAAATCCCAGTAGATTAGCAGTTTCTGAAATACTCAGACCAGCCCTTCTGGCACCAACAATCATGCCACGTTCAAAGTCACTCAAATCAACTTTCTTCCCCATACTGATGCTCGGTTTGAACTGCAGGAGATTGTCTTGACCATGTCTACATGCCTAAATGCACTGAGTTGCCGCCATGTGATTGGCTGCTTAGAAATTAAGTGTTAACGAGCAGTTGGACAGGTGTACCTAATAAAGTGGGCGGTGAGTGTATATATATATATATCACGGTCAGGAACACAACACAGAGGAACAACACAGCTGGTCCAGAGATGGTGGGTCGGATGAACTCCAGCGCAGATGGTGGGTGACCCAGGGACTTCGGTGGACAGCCAGTGAAGTGCTCCCAGTCCAGTGAGGAATCTCCAGTGAGGTGCCCGGTGAATCCGTGGAAGTGCGAGGGAACTCGAAGAAAACACGACGACGAACAAGAGAATTCCACAGGAGGACGAACAGCTCAGGAACAGGAACACACCGGGAAGAACAACGATCTGACAACATGAGACACCAGTTACTGAACATATAAAGGGACAAACAGATTGAAGCCAGCTGGCGCTGCTGATCATCAATGATCAGTGACCACGCCCACAGATACACACACACACAAGCACGCGAGACGAGAGAGAGACAGTGAATTCATGCACCGTGACACTAATAGTTTGCAAATGATTTATAAGCGCTGTGTTACTGTATACTTGTGATAAAGTGTCACCATTATTTCAAACTGGTCGCATTAAGTGTAGGGATGTAACGATTCACTAATCTCACGATGCGATACGATTCACGATACTTGTTTCACGATACGATTTTCTCACGATTTTTTTAACAAATGAAATTGAAGACAAAAGTGTCCCTTTTATTATTTCTCAGACAAAATGCTCCACATTTCTTTTTTAATTTAAAATATATTTGTCAAATAATAAAACTACATAAAAAAATTCCCTTCAAGGTTGTTTCAACTCCGTCTTTCTGTCTGTTTGGTCAAGAGGCTGGACACTGGTACCTTCGCACACTATGTAAAGGACTGTGTAAAATTAGTACTAGATTGACAGGGGTTTTACATTGTAATAAAGGCAAGATTCTAATTTTGGTATAATTTGTATCATTACACTAGTAAGAGTTTAAAAAAACACACATTTAGAGAAAGAGTTAGTAAAATAAATACAACACCTAGTTGCCACGTAAACACTGATGCACCTTGTGATCTTCGTGGCTCTCGCAATTGTCGTATTAATGACTTTTACATGAAAACGGAGGTGACTGGTGCTTCTCACGGAGGTGATTATTATTAGTCTACGGAAAGTCAAAATGCCGCCACACCTCCGATTTTGAATGAGTCAACGTCAACATCTACGCTTGCCGTCGCCATGTCTACTGTTTGACGGCGCGTGCAAACCAGTCTATGGGACACACTGGCGCGGAGCGAGCGGAGCAAATCGAGTCTTGGCTCACACAAGATCAAGTTCCATGAATAAAGTGAAAACACTCGCTAGCTTCACGCCAGTGTGTGCTCGCTGCTAGTGTGCCTGTAAAGCGAGGTTCACAACTTCACAGTAGGCTATACAGTAAACGCCCCCTGCTGTTTAAAACGTGTATTGCGATCACTGATGTCATTCTATATAGATGATCGATCGCGATTCGTTTAACATTTCAACCGACTTGAATCGTCACACATTTGTATCAATTTTCAACCGGTTGCGAGTGAATCGTTACATCCCTAATTAAGTGCAATTGTTCCTTTTGTATGTGATGGCGTGATTCTTCTTTCTCAAAAATAACACAAAACAAACAAAGTAAAGATGAATTTGACTGATAGCATTATTATTATTTTTGACCACCGGATGAGGCTTACGCCACACATATATTGTGCACACCATCTACATATTAATCCTTATTCACTCAGAGTCTTTATGGTAGAGATGATCTTACCCCAGTGTCTCCAGTTTACAGAGAGGATTCTCCAGTAGATCAGAAAGATGCTTTATTCCTAAATCTCCTAGTTTATTCTTAGACAGATTCAGATCTCTCAGGTGTGAGGGGTTTGATCTCAGAGCTGAAGCCAGAGCAACACAACCTTCATCTGTGACTTCACAATCCCTCAACCTGTAGAGAACAATGACACACATTAAGCCTATATCCAGAGATAAACACAACACTTAAACAATAAATAACATAATGCTGTCAATATGAAATATATACAAATACTCATTAGTTCATGTTGTTTAAATACATCAGTTATGATTAGGGGATTGAATATACAGTTTGTACAGTATAAAAATAATTTCTATGGAAAGTCCCCATAAAACATGGAAAACGTGTGTGTGTGTGTGCTTAATCTATTTGTAAACATTTAAAGGAACGTGTGTGTGTGTGCTTAATGTATTTGTAATCATTTAAAGGAACGTGTGTGTGTGTGTGTGTGTGTGTGTGTTTTAGGGCTGGGAGAAAAAAATTATTCACGAAACTATCGTTTATTTTCCACTACAGTAAAAGACCTGGGTGTTATACTAGACCGCAACTTGTCTTTCGAAAATCATATTTCATCTGTTACAAGAACAGCCTTTTTCCACCTTAGAAACATTGCTAAATTACGTAACATGCTATCTGTTTCTGATGCAGAAAAGTTAGTTCATGCATTCATGACCTCGAGACTAGATTACTGTAATGCTTTATTAGCTGGTTGTCCTGCATCCTCAATAAACAAGCTACAGTTAGTGCAAAATGCAGCCGCTAGAGTTCTTACTAGATCAAGAAAATATGATCATATAACACCGATTTTATCATCTCTGCACTGGTTACCTATTAAGTTCCGTATTAATTACAAAGTACTACTACTGACCTATAAAGCCCTTAATGGTTTAGCTCCTATGTACTTAACGGACCTTCTTTCGCCCTACAATCCACCGCGTTCTCTAAGATCACTAAATTCAAGGCTTCTGGTCATTCCTAGGATATCGAAGTCCACGAAAGGAGGGAGGGCATTCTCGCATTTAGCTCCAAAACTCTGGAATAGCCTTCCCGATTCGGTCCGATGCTCTGACTCGCTGTCACAGTTTAAAACTAGACTAAAGACGTGTCTCTTTAGTCAAGCATTCACATAATGCTTACCTTTTAGTCCTCTGCTATGCCATACGGAACCGTTTGCCACTGAAACTGCTTAACGCACCAGTGGGGCTCGACAGCCTTATAGACAAACGGGTCGGTCCGTATGGTTGCGGTTGGTTGCGGAGAGTTTGGGTTGCGGAGAGTTGTGAGATTATGGTTTTCTAACACCTACTCCCGTGTAATGGAAATCATTATGAACATCAGCTATGCTAATTATTTCCCATCTGCCTTTCTGCTGTTATCTCGGGACGCTTGTCCCGAGAAAAATGGCGTTCGTAGGCTCCAGTTTGGTATCCTGCCTCTCACGGGGATTTCGGATGCCTCAACGCCTGTGATGAGAAGACCAACGCCTGTGAAGAGACGACTCAACGCCTGCGAAGAGACGACTCAACGTCGGCGATATGTTATCCCCTAAATATTACATGATTAACTAAATGTATTTTTCCAGGTACTCTCTGATATGCACTTACTGTAAAGCTTCTTTAAAACCCTATGATTGTTAGCCAGAGGAGAACTGGCCCCTGACTAGCCTGGGTTCTCCCAAGGTTTTTTTCTCCATCCAATCTGATGGAGTTTTGGTTCCTTGCCACTGTCGCCTTGCTTTTGGCTTGCTTAGTTGGGGATATTTAATATTCAACAATATTATTGAACTGTGTTGTACTACTTTCATGTTATCACTGTGAAGCTGCTTTGATGCAATCTGTATTGTGAAAAGCGCTATATAAATAAATGTGACTTGACTTGACTTGACTATCGCAATTTTTTTGTTTACTGTTTTACGATCTTCTTCCAATTCGTTTGTCTATTAAACTTTTGACAAAATCATAGGTTAAATCATGCGTTAAAATAATGCATTTATCAATTACATTGTTTTGCCACTAAGTGGCGACAAGTGACTGTTAAAAACTGTATTTATTGAATTATTTTAAAAACCCTCTTCACTGTATCCTGCATCTGTTGTCTGGTTTGTAGTGCGTCCGGTTTATTTAACTGTTGGTTTTACTGTGTTTTGTGGGGGTATTATAATATAGTGAGATGTAAAAGATGTAAATGTTCCTCTTCAGGGAGACTCTCACCGCTGTCTTCTACCGCCGGCAGGATCTGACGGTTCAAGCAGGAATCTGTCGCTGAACCACCGGATGGGGCTTACGCCACACATATATTGTACACACTATCTACATATTAATCCTTATTCACTCAGAGTCTTTATGGTAGAGATGATCTTACCCCAGTGTCTCCAGTTTACAGAGAGGATTCTCCAGTAGATCAGAAAGCTGCTTTATTCCTGAGTCTCCTAGTTTATTCTCAGACAGATCCAGTTCTCTCAGGTGTGAGGGGTTTGATATCAGAGCTGAAGCCAGAGCAACACAACCTTCATCTGTGACTCCACACACACTCAACCTGTAGAGAACAATGACACACATTAAGCCTCTGGTTTTCTTCAGGGTCCTTTTAACCCGCAAATGACTTTTGCTCAAATTTTTTAAATAATCTTTGTCCAAATGGTATGAAACTTTCTACGGTTCTCAACACTTTCTAGATCTAAAAAACAAACAAAAACAATTGTATTGATATCTGTTTTTATGTTAGCGTGAAATAAATAGTGACACTAGTTGTCTTCGGGTCCCTGGAGACCCCGCATAGTAAATATACAAAATTCATCATCAAAATCAGAAACAATGCAGAACACATAGACAGAAATAAATACATTTTACACATTGAAAATGTGCACACACACACACACACACACACACACTCACGAATACATTTGTAAGGCTATAAAAAACTCATTTGTTATTGCTGTTCATGTTCATGTCATGTATTTTTACTCAATATGTAATATAACTGTTCATTTCTAATAATTTTTGTTCTGTTACAGTTAGTAACTGAAATGTTGTTTAAAATTTTAGAATTATATTAAAAACAGACGATTGAAATAAAGGATAAAATCTAAAAATGTATCTTTGTAACATTGTTCAGGTTTGATTCTAGTCATAACATTATTGAAAAACATTTTTTCAGTACAAAAATGCTAAACTTTGACAAAAATATTTTATTTTTGTTATAATTGTGATTTTATAATATTTAGGTATGAATCCAACTGAATCCAACTTGTGAAAATATATATTTAGTTAGTCGAATAGCAAATAGTGGAACTCTATAGCCATCTACAGGTTAAAATTATTATTTTTTATTTTAAAACAGCACTTTCCAAAAAAATGGGCACAAATCTTACATTAAACCATATAAAGTTATCCATGTTATCCCCATGAATGAAAGTCAGAAATCTGGGTCTTTTATAAAGTGAATTTTACATAAAATGCTGTTTTTTTGTAAAAAGCCTATTTAAATAAATATTTATTTATTTATATAAATTTAAAATATATCAAAATTACAGTCAAATTACATTTGTAACAAAAAAAAAAAAAGATTATTCTGTTACAAAATTAAATGTTATTGTCTGGGGTCCCTGGAGACCCCAAAGATAACTAGTGTCAGCCCCAAATGAAGATAACACAAGGGTTAAGCCTTTATCCAGAGATAAACATAACAATAAATAACATAATGCTGTCAACATGAAATGTATAGAAATACTCATCAGTTCACTTTGTTAAAATACATCAGTTATCATTAGGGGATTGAATATACAGTTTGTACAGAATACAAATCAGTATTTCTATGGAAAGTCCCCATAAAACATGGAAACCCAACTTGCTCCAACAGAGGCTGAAACGTGTGGTGTCGTAATATCCCTGTCTAGTGGACATGTGGAAGCGGCGTGAGACTGAAGCACTGAAAGCCCTCGCGCTACTCATATGCTGAGAGAGAGATAAGACAGTAGAGCTGACCGATTCAGCTTTACAATACTGTGATCTCCATTCACACACACACACCATCTTCTTACAATTCCTCTATTAAACCTTTGACTAAATCACATCGCAACACTTTACATCTGTGTTGGCGCTGCCGCTGACCCAGAGAGAGTTGGCATGAAACAGCTTAAATAGAAGTAATGGGATAAAAGTTTAAAGTTCAGATATAAACACTGATCTAGCTTTTGATAGAAACAACTGAAGGCACTCTCTGTAATCTCAATGAGGTCTGAAAAATGAAATGCCTGATATCACAGCGCTGATAAGCACAGCTCCTCAAAACTCTCCACTGACTTTATCAAGCCCACGGCTTTTAGTTTTTGGGTGGTTTGTAAAACCCTCAACACAGAGGCTTTATCAATTTGCAGATATTCCTCTGTTTTCAAACTAAAATAAAAATCCCTAATTTCATCAAAATCGTGCGTATCAAATCGCCTATAAAATCCTGAGCTTCATTCTCTCTCTCTCGCACAGCTCTCTCTCTCATCAGTAGCCATAGCAGCTTCGGAGCCGGTTCTGATCCAGGGTCAGTTTACTCCAGAGGTGTTCAGCGCATGCGTCTCTATTGATGAGGCTCCAGCGGGCCTGACAGTTATATCTATATAAAGCGCTGTTACAACAAGCTAATGTTCAGTTTATTATAATATATAGCTAATGCTCATCTCATAAAAATTATTTAAAGATTTTAAATGATTGCACAACCACCAAATAGGAGGTGATATGCACTATGTAAATCAGCATTTAACAAAAGAAGAAAGTAGTCGTATGGCGCGCTTTTTCTCAGCGTCTGTTTCCATGGTGACTCGTGGATTCGTCTCTGTTGAGAAGGTCTGGTGTGTGAACCATGAAATTAAACAATAAAACCTAATAATTTGGTTTAATCAAGCAAGAGTTCAGGGTATGTTTGAAGGTAAGATAAGCTTGCTTTCTGGAACACACCCCAGGACACAGGCAGATCTCCAAACCAGGAATAGCAGAAAACAAGGACAACGCTCAGTAATGCCAGGAACTCTAGACAAGACTCTGCGCTGAGACAAACAACTGAACTGGGTAAATAGGCAGAGAGACTGAGGGATCATGAGTGCATATCATTTGAGCAATATCTCTTTTTTTAAAAATGAATTAAACATATCAGCAAGTTTAACTGTTATTCTAAGAGATTATGGGAGGGAGAAAGATTATGCAAAACTGATAAAATGAAATACATTAAAAACATCTGTTCTCTTACGAGAGTATCTCTCGTACTGCGTAATAGCTTACGCTAGGGGAAAACCTCTTTTCCACGAGATATTGAAGCCAAAAATTATCCTTAATTTTTTATTAATGTAAAACGCTTTGCAGCAGCAAGCAGACACAGGCGAGACAGCTCGCGCGCCTATTGGCTGCTCTTGCGGCAAATGCAGCAGCCTATCGAGAGAGACTCTGCGTGACGTAATGACCAATGGGGGCAACTCGCGCCCATATCGTCACGTCCCGCCAGAAAAGGCGTGGTCTCACTCTATAAATATACTCGTTAGGCTGGTACAAGCTGATTTTCATCTCTTCAGCGAAGCACACGCATCGCTGGATCCGGAGTGAGAAGCCGCGCCGTCGAAGCAAGCTTTTCAGCGGGACGAGCTTCTGGAGTCGCTGGCCTCGCCGCCTTCAACTGCCGTACCTGCTGCGCTTTACGGCGTGCTATATCCTTTTATATACCTCTGTATTTAACTCTGCTGAGAAGTGTTAGCTCGCTTACTTGACGCGACTTTCACTTCTCGTCACAAAAGAGCTGCGTCTTTTTAAAGATGCCTTCCTGTGGCTCGTGCCGCGCCCCACTCAGCGACGGAGACCGCCATGTCATCTGTGTGTCCTGCCTGGGTGAGGATCACGCGGCCTTCGCGCTCGCTGACGGCGGATTCCCTCATTGCGAGCTTTTGCCTATGCTGACTCTGAGGACTCGCCTGGCATCATTCTCCGAGCCTTCACCGCATCCCGTCGTGGTGCCGCGCCGCAAGAAGCGTCGCGCCCAGCGCGCTCCCAAGCTCTCTCCAGCCCGCCAAAGCTCGCCGGCTTCGCTCGAGTCGCTCACCGACGGACAACGTCCGCCGCCTGCCACCGCGTCCGTCCACGAGTTCGACGAACCCACCGAGGCGTGTTCTCTGTTGGCATCCGATAGCGAGGATTGGGCGAGCTCCGTGGACCTCCCCTCCGCTAGCGTTTCCCGCCAAACTACTGGTAAGAGAACCGGCATTGAGACTGAGGTGATGCGTCTGCTCTCTCAGGCCGTAGAAAGCATCGGCCTCGATTGGGAGGCGCCCGCGCAACCGCCGCGCAACAGACTGGACGGACGCTTTCTCGGGGAAAGACGAACCTCCGTCGAAGTCAAGGCCCGCCCCCTTCCTCCCTGAACTACACGAGGAAGTGACTAAGTCGTGGAACGCCCCCTTCTCCGCCAGGCTGCGTACCTCTGCCTCGGCTGCTTTCTCCACGGTGGATGGTGCGAAGGACAGAGGATACCTCTCCGTTCCCCTGTGGAGCCAGCTGTAGCGTCTCATCTTTGCCCGCCCTCCGCTGGACGGCGCGCTCACACGACGCTCCCCTCTAAAGCCTGCCGAGTGACGTCAGCTATGCACGGACGCGCTTACACCGCCGCCGGGCAAGCAGTTTCAGCGCTGCACACTATGGCTATTCTGCAGATCTTCCAGGCCGACCTTCTCCTTAAAATGGACGAGGAAGGACCCGGAGCGATCTGCGTAGCGGACCTGAGAAGCGCTACGGACCTCGCTTGCTAAAGCCGCTGCACAGGCCATAGGGCGGAATATGGCCTCTCTCACCGTGGCTGAGAGACACTTATGGTTGACGCTGTCCGAGATGACGGAAGCCGAGCGCTCTGTGTTCCTCGACGCGCCCATTTCACCAGCGGGCCTCTTCGGATCTGCCGTCAAAGATTTCGCGGACAGATTCATGGAGGTGCAGAAGACTTCACAGGCTATGAAGCACTTCCTTCCGAAGCGCTCGAGCTCCGCTGCAGGCCGCTCTAAACAGCCGTCTGCTCGCAGCTCTCAGCCGCAACCTGCACCACCCGCCGCCGCTTCACAGCGCCGCCACGCCCGAGACCAAAGACCGCGCTCTCGCTCTGCTGGACGCCGCCCCCCTCAGCGCGGGCCCCGGCCGAGGATCGAGATCAAGCCCGAGGCCTCAAAGCCTTCCTAGCCACTCTAGGAAAGCGACGGTGTTCAGATCCCGCTGTGGCCGGTTCTCCACCAAAACTTCTCGCTCGGTCAGTTCCAAGCATCGTGACTGTCCCAGTGTATTTCGCAGTGAGCCAGCCGGTGTCTCAGCCCGTTTGCCTGCGCACAAAAGCCGTTTTTACGGCTACCCAGATAAATCCAATAAAGAGTGCATTTTCTGGTGTTCCGGCCATGGCCGATGGTGTTATGAGTGTTATAAGAATGCCCACGCCCCAGTGCCCATTCCCACACCCAGACACAGCCCGCCACGGTGCAGGGCTAGCACAAATAAAATCGACTCAGGTCGATTGTGCACACA